GACTGGGGGTCGCACAACCCACCTTCTGCCTGACCACAGCTCCAGTGGCCACAGAGCGCAGTTTGCAAGCTGCTGGTGCCCTCTAAAGGGAGATGGAAAGGGATTCAAGAATCGTGCAATTGTTCAGGTTGGAAAAGACTCCTGAGGTCATCGAATCCAATTGTTAACCCAGCCCTGCCAGGGTCACCACTGACCCATGGCCTGAGCTCCACATCTGCACGGCTTTGAGATCCCTCCAGGGATGGGGACTCCACCGCTGCCCTGGGCAGCCTGGGCCAGGCCTTGACAACCCTTTCCATGAAGAAATTTTTCCCAATATCCGATCTGAACTTTCCCTGGTGCAACCTGAGGCCATTTCCCCTTGTCCTATCACTTGTTCCTTGAGAGGAGAGACAGACCTCCCCTTGCTAGCCCCTCCTGTCAGGGACTTGTAGAGCTGACATCTTGTATACTGACACCTTGCTGCAAGAGAGATGTCTTCTGCTTTAGAAATAAGGAATGGATTTGGGGAAGGGGCTCCCTTCACCAGCAGCATCACCCCAGCAGCTTGGTCTCACCCCTGCTCCAACCCTGCCTGTGAGATGACAGGGTTGTAGAGCCAAGTGGCTTGAACATCAAAGCTGCAGAAACCCTGAAGGAGGCTACTTGAGGTAGTTTTAATTTGCTTCTTGTCCTAGAGAGAGTTGTACTGCTCCAAATGGCTAAAAAATATTGTGTGCTTCGTTGGGATCATGTTCTTCCTCAGCTCCTCCATGACTGCCGCCCTGGCACATCACCCATTGCCAGGGCCAACCCATCTGCTGGAGCAGCCCCCAAAACCCTTTGCAATAGGGAAAAACACCAGAAAATGGGGCTGTTTGCTGAATCCGTGCTGCTTGGGACGAGGAAGGAGAGATGCATGCACTCTGTTGGGCTGATGGAGAGCAGATACCACGGGTGCGAGAGATCCAAGGAGAGAGCATGGGCAAAACACGACCACAATTCACCTTAACACTCCAGCTGCAGTGGGGAAAGCTGTGCAAGGTGAAGCTGCATAAATGCTTTCACCTTTCCCTGCCTCCAACATTTCCTATTAAAGACGTTCAGAAACGTGGCAAGGATTGCCTGCACCATTGGGAGGATTTAGACGCTCATACTGTGAAAAACAATCTCCATTTCTCTTTCACAGAACTGTAGAATCACAGAATGGTTTGGGTCAGAAGGGACCTTTAGAGGTCGTCTACCCCAGCCTCCCTGCAGTGAGAAGGGACGTCTTCAACTAGGCTGTTGCATTAAAGGGCTGATGAAACAGGGTCACCAGAACTGGCAGCGGAACTAGGAGTGATAAAGCATGTCCCAGCCTAAAATTGGAACCCTGCCTTGGGTATTTGGGGTAAGATCACCTCCCCTGCCAGCTCCCCGCCAGGCAGCCCCTCCTGGGGATGTGGTGATGTACAAGCCATCTTCTGAGGATGTGGTTTGGTAACCCCTGCCTGCCACCACCGCATTTTCATGGACTGGGGTTGAAGAGGGAGAAGTTCCCTCACGATGGGGAACTACTTTGTAGGGTTCAGACTATTTCATGCGTGGATTAAAGACCAGGGGTTTCTCTGCATGCCAGGATGGCTGAAAGGGTGAGTTTGTCTTGGAAGTCTCATCTAGAACAAAGAAAATAAGAGAGATTTATTTGCAATGCCGGCTTTGATGTGGCAGGGGAGCTCCAGGGAGCTTCAAGGACACGGTTTTGGAGTTCCTCCAGGATCTGCAGGGAGGGGGCTGGCAGTGAGGAGCTGCAAAGTGGGCTCACAAGAGTGTGAAAAAGCAATAAAAAGGCACTTGGTTAGACTCCAAGTTGGCTGCGGTCCAGAGCTATCAGTGAAAGAGGATTTGGCTTCGGTCACACCAGGTGGGAGCTGTGAGCTGGAGAGAGCAGGCAGGCATGCTCCATGGACCCCAGAAACCCCCACAGACCCACCAGAGAGCTACTGGGAGGGGGGTGAGGTACCCCCAGGTCTCCTCTGCCATGCAGTCAGGTATGATACGGCATCCAGCATCCATCATATCATGCAGCACCCGGACAAGAACATTCCTGGAACACCTCAGCAGCAATGTCAGGGTCAACATGCAAAACCCTTTCAGGAAAATTTGATGGAAACGATACCATTAATGCATTTTTGCCTCATAGTTCAAATAAATAGATGTCTCTTGCTGTTCAGCCTTTGTACCACTGGCTCAAAGTGACTTTCCTCTGTGCTGCACACGTCCTCCCCCTCCCCGTAAATGTTGTGTAGTTGATCTTGGCCAAGAAACAAGCCCTAAAAGCATGCACAACTGTCTCACCGTGAATGATGACCTGACAGGAGTTTAAAGTGGTTTTACGAATGCACTAAAATACATGAAGACTCTCCTTGGTGTGTTAAACTCGAGCTTTTGAAGTGCTGCAGTAGTTAGTCCCCATCAGCTTGCTCTAACTGGACGCGGTGTGCTGGCTAGGGAGTGATGAGGAGATAGGTTTAAAAGGGTTATTTCACTTCAGATGTCATCAAGTAGGGGAAAAAGGTCAGCAGAAAGCTACTAAAAAAGCCACCTCTGGGTTTCCAAAATAGCTGTTACAAAGAGTCCCTCATCGCTGGGGTACTTTGTGTTTCGAATGAGATGGGAGGCTGGACCTCCTGCCTCTCCCAGCAGCTCCGAGATGCGGTAGGAGATGGAGGTCTGGTGTAATGGTGCAGAAGAGAGGTCAGAGCCCCTTTTCCAGCCCTGTGGGCAAAAAGCATAGGTTGACACCCAGAGGCAAGCAGATGTGTCTTGAACATGGGCACAGGTTGCAAGAGTGCTCGCTGGTGACCTCAAAGGTGCCAGACCCCTCATGGACAGCTGGCACACAGGGGCAGAGCCTAGGTCATCACTGTCAGACTCTGCCTGTGCCTTGCCAAGTCATCCACTTCCAAAATCACAGGAGAAAACACATCTTCACAAATAAATTAAGCAGGGCTAAGGCTGCATGCTGCCCCTTGCCCACGCTGGGTCACTGTCCTACCAGCCCTGACATGGCTTGACCCATCCTAAAGTGCTCTCCAGGGAGTATGAGCTCTCCCAGAGGATGGAGCAATTAAATTCCCCTTCCTTCTAGCAAAGTACATCCTCCCCAGACCCATTGTCCTCATAGTCAGTCACCCTGAGAGTAGTTTCCTTCCACCAGTTTCTCTGGGGGCATTTTGAAACCATGATTTCTGCTGTGCAGCAGCATCTTGGGTCAGGGAGCCCTGTGGTTTAGAGGAATTACCCTGTCAGGTTGGCTTTGAACCTGACCTGTGGTAACCTCCCATGGTCCATCTCTCCTCTAGGATGAGACAGCAGCCCACAGACCTCAACAACCTTCTGCCTGGGACCCCCCATCCCACTCTGTGTTCTCTCTTCCAGGCTGATGGGCTCCGGCTTCCATGGCTGTTTCTTGCACAGTTTCTTGCACAGATGCCACATGGACCTCCAACTGCTTTGATGTCCATCCCTGAACCTTCTCCTGCCCTAGCATCTCATCCTCTCTCACTCCAGCATCTCATCCTGGAAGTGGGACGGCCACACCATGTACAAGCAGCAGGGAGGGCAATTTCCCTTTGGCTCCCAGCACTGCCTGCTCTGCTCTCCACTCTTTTCCTAATTATTCCTGTGGTCTCATTTGCCTTTCTGAGCACTGCCAGCCACTCATCTGCTGTAAGGCTGTGGTAAGGCTGCCCAGGGGTACTGCTGGGCTGGGAGCCCCAGGGGGCAGCTAAGCTGGTGAAGGGTCTGGAGACCAAGTGTGATGTGGAGCAGCTGAGGGCTGTTCAGTCTGGAGAAGAGGAGGCTGAGGGGAGACCTTCTCGTTCTCTGCAGCTCCCTGACAGGAGGGGGGAGACAGGGTAGAGTGGGCTCCGCTCCCAAGGAACAAGAAAAAGGATGAGAGGAAATGGCCTCAAGTTGCACCAGGGGAGGTTTAGATTGGATATGAGGAAAAAATTTCGTTACTGAAAAGAGTATGTGAGGCATTGGAACAGGCTGCCCAGGGCAGTGGTGAAGTTGCCATCCCCAGAGGTGTTCAAAAAATGTGTAGACGTGCCACTTACGGACATGGTTTAGTGGTCATGGTGGTGTTGGGTTGACAGTTGGACTTGACGATCTTAGAGGTCTTTTCTAACCTTCATGATTCTGTGATTCTATGGATGGTCCCTGTGGAGCTGCTAAATCTAACAGCACCTTGCCCAGAGACCTTCCTGCAGCCTTGTTTTTGTTACCCTGGATGATTTCAAGCCCTCATCACCCTGTCTGAGGTCACTGGTGATAACACTGCATCCCTGTGCCCTTTCCCACCACTGAATGCTTCAGCAGTTGTCTCAGTCTGGGTAAGGGGGTCCTGGGTGACTCCCCTACCACCACGAGCAGACCCTGGATGAGGGCAGAGCTGCCTTTCCACCCTGGTGCAGGGTGGTTTTGCCTGCCAGACAGCAACACTGACAAACTGAGCTAATTCCCTGCCTGTCCTCAATCTGTCTCCTTTCTACAAGAGCATCCACTGATAGGACAAGGGGAAATGGGTTCAAGTTGAAGGAGAATAGGTTTAGATTAGATCTTAGGAAGAAATTCTTCAGTACAAGGGTGGCAAGACTTTGGAATAAATTGCCCAGAGATGTTGTGGCTGCCCCCTCCCTGGAGGTGTTCAAGGCCAGGCTGGACGGAGCCTTGAGTAGCCTGATCTAGTTGAGAGGCGTGCCTGCTAATGACAGGGAGGCTGGACTAGATGATCTCTACGGTCCCTTCCAGCCTAGGCCAGTCTATGATTCTGTGATCATTCCAAACAGCAGGAGTGGCTTTGTGGTGGGCAGCTGCCCCTTTCCCCTTGGGGGCCACAGACAAAGAGCATCCCTGTCACATGTGGGCAGGTCCCCATGTCGCACAGAGACCCAGACAGCAAGCAACTCCCTCTTTATTTTCCTGTTGCTCCTCTCCCAAATTTCCACTGAGGGCAAGACGGACATCATCATTCAGGCTCGGCACTCGAAAAAGCTATCTCGGATCTCTCTCTCCCGTGCGGTGACCCTTTTCCCCGAGGGGTAGGTCTGGTAGGTCCGGAGGTTCGTCGGTGACACTCGCGCCAAATGCCAGCAGGTCTTCAGGCTGAGCGGTGGGCTGGGGAGCAGCAAAACACCAAGGATGGTTACAGAGGCGCAGGCAGCATGTTCAGAGGTGCAGACAGGGGTTACAGAGGTACAGGAGGACCCAAATGTAGGTGTCTGCTCTGCGGGCACCCTCAGCCCCATGGCTGCTCACCCCAGCTGCAGAAGCAGGCAAGCTCGCAGTGTTGTCCCTCCAAGGGGGCTCAACAGAACCTTGCACTGGGCTGGTGTAATCCTGGGGCTCCCAGTTCCTGGAACTCCCAATTCCCAGGGCTCCCAGTTCCTGGGGCTCTCAATTTCTGAAGAACCCAGTTTCTGAGGACTCCCAATTCACAGGACTCCCAGTACCTGGGACTCTCAGTTCCTGGAGATCCCAATTCCTGGAGCTCTCAATTCCCAGAGCTCCCAGTTCCCAGGGTTCCCAACTCTCTCCTGAGCCCCACACATGCACCCAAAGGTGAAGCTGGGAGATTTTATCTGTGCCGCATTCAGAGCCGACGCTGCAAGGCCAAGAGGTGCTCTCCTGTTTGCAAGCACCCGCGACCTCCAGCCCACAAATATTTGTGCAGAAGCAGCTCTGTACGTTGGCATTACCTGGATGGGGTCCCTCACATGCCTGCCTGAGAAAGGACCGTGGGGATGGGGAAGTGTTTGCAGGAATAAAGGGAAAATATAGATTATTGTCAAGGTCACCACTGCTTGTGCCCCTTTGGGGACAGGTTGCCTGTCTCTGCAGGAGCTGGTCAAAGTCAAATCATTTCTGTGGGCGTGGGTCAGGGAGCAGTAAGGTCCTCAGCAACAATGAACAGGGATGCATGGCAACAAGTCGTGGTCAGGATCAGGCCTGGAGTTGGTGGTCAGGGTCAAACACAGCCCAAGGGCCACCCAGCAGTGAGGTGGATCTGAGGTCAAGCCCAGATTCAGGTCTAGGCTGGGGTAGAGGAGGTCCAAGTCTAGGCACAGAGCCAGCTGTGGTGTAGCTGCAAACACAGGGACTGGTGGTAAATCTGTGACATAAAAGGAGATCTCAAAGGAACGGAGGCGCTGGCCATCACCTCCAGCTTTGCTCACAACAGCTCTTATCAGCGCCAGGGCTGACCTTGGCCTCCACCAGCTAAGCCCCGGGAAGGCAGATGCCCCATCAGCACCTGTGTTACTCTGTTCACTCCCGTCTATCCTTCTTGTCCCACACATTCCTTGCTTCGAGACCTGGCCTGGCCAAAGGACACTCTCCCACACTCCTGTTTGTTCCAGACAAGCAGCGAAGGGTTGATAAGAAGGCCTGAGCCAGCCTAGATAACCACAGCACACAGCCGGGATGAAGCGCTCCATGCCCATCAGTTAACCCTCCCTTTAAGCAGCTCCTCTGAGCTCCACACACAAAACTTTGCAAATTCGAGGGCTTGCAGGGGCTGATCATAACCACCCTTGCTGCTGTGCTCACTGCATCACCATCCCTTCCCACCTCCCAGCATTAACCCTCCCTTTAAGCAGCTCCTCTGAGCTCTACACACAAAACTTTGCAAATTCAAGGGCTTGCGAGGGCTGAGCATAACCACCCTTGCTGCTGTGCTCACTGCACCACCATCCCTTCCCAGCTCCCAGCACGGATGGTCCAGCCTCCTCCTGGGCTGTGCAAGCCACAGAGTGGTCTGTGAGGCAGAGGCAGCCTCCAACCTCCCTGGTCAGTGTCTGCAGCGCTGTGGTTGGTCTGAGGTTCCTCTGTGCAAGGAGACATGGACATTCTGCAGCAAGGGCCACTGAGATGGGCTTGAGCACATCATGTGGATCCCACCTGCAGTTCTGTGCCCAGCTGTGGGGCCCTCAGCACAGGGAAGATATGGACCTGTTAGGTCCAGAGGAGGTCACTGAGATGCTCAGGGGGTTGGAGCAGCTCCCTGGGAGGATGGGCTGAGATACCTGGGACTGGTCAGCCTGGAGAAGACTCCAGGGGGACCTTATAGTGGCCTCCCAGTACTTAAAGGGGACTCATAGAAAGATGGAGACAATCTTTTAGCAAGACCTGTAGCAACAGGACAAGGGGTGATGGTTTTAAACTAAAAGAGGAGAGATTCAGACTAGACATGAAGGAGACTTTTTTATATGAGGATGCTAAAACACCGGTGCAGGTTGTCCAGAGAGGTGGTAGAAGCCCCATCCCTGGAAATATTCCTGGTCAGGTTGAACAGGGCTCTGAGCAACCTGATCTAGTTGAAAATGTCTCTGCTCACTGCAGAGGGGTTAGACTAGATGACCTTTAAGGGTCCTTTCCAACCCAAATCCAACCTGTTCTGTGATTCTGTGAGGCATAGTGCTGGGTTGTTTCGCCTCGAGAGGAGAAGATGAAGGGTGATCTTACTACTTCCTACAGCTACCTAAAGGCAGATAGAGCAGAAGTGAGGATCCAGAGGATGTAAATATGCAGCAGCCTGGAGGACAAATCTTGAATTTCAAGGCTCACGGTGATAGGAGCAGCAACAGGCACAAGTTACAGCATAGGCAGATCCAGCCAGACAGAAGGAAAATACATGAAGATATTTTATCCAAAGCCCTCTGAAGATGCCTGGAGTTGTTTTTTGGGTTTTTTTTCCCCCCTCCTGGATTTTACACTCCCGTTGAGCCACAGGATCACAGCACTAGAGGGCCCCCAAGTATTTCTGCTGACGTTTGACTCTGGCAGCTCTAACCACAGCTCAGCTCCCAGTCCTGGGCTGGCAGCGCTGTAGTTGCGTTTTCAGCCCATTTCAGGTCCAGTGGAATAATTTCCAGGAGACTAGTGCTGTGCTGAGAGCTCAAGGCAAGAGGGAATTGTGAATTCTAGCTATTACCCACATGGGTGGAGAGCAGTGTACCCCTCTGGCAGCTCCTCTGGTGCTGGGAGGGTTGTGCAGGACAGCAGGGGCTGTCAGTGCCATGAGTGTCCCTGCAAATGGGTGGTGGGACACCGTGCTGGACTGGGAAATTAGATGGTCTCGGTTGCTTTTGCACAGCAGGCCGATGCAAAGTCTCTCCAGGGGAGTTCAGCCTCTCTGTTCCCTGCTTTCAGGCTGTGGTCTGTGCTACTCCACGTCCCCACCAACTTTCATTTTCCCTTTATTCTTGCTAAAATTTATTTATGACTATTTCTTGCTGTCCCCAAAGTACCCACTGTGCTTTCAGTGCTGGAGACAAATACCCAGCCACTTAATCCTCATTTCAGCTGTGCTATGTCTACCTCTGCCTACCTTTGTGCCCCAGAGATGCTGACAAGATCCCTCACATGGTCCAACTTCTGCAGTATCTGCCCTGAGCCTCCCAGGAGGAGAATCTCCCCCTCCACACACCAGAGAGGTCCTGGGGGCTTGTCTGCCCAGCGTTTCATTGAGGAGCTTCAACGGGTCCTTCAAGCAACACTTCAGCATCGACATTTCAGCATCTGCCTTTTTTTTTTGCATGCACAGGGCTCTGTGCTGATGAAGAGCACATATTCCCTTTGCTACACAACTGCCATGTGCAGACCAGTAGTAAAGACTGGTGAAGGAGAAGCAAAGGCCAATGGTTTGTGTCGAACGTAACCACAGCACTCATCATCTGTCCTGGTTTGAAGCTCTGCCAGGGGATCTGCTGATGGGGCTGCTGGGCTGGACACCCTCAGATGTGGCATCTGAAGTATTTTGGGTGGTAACAGATGTTTTGGTGAGACGCCTGCAAGCACAAGCTGTTCTGACACCAGCAGTTTAGGGAGGAGGTCTATAAGGTCTCGGTGACCCTAGCATGGTTGATAGTGTGGAACTTGTGAAGCTGTGCCGTGGGATGTACTGAGCACAGCAAGGGAAGCAGCAGATGAAACCCACCCAGGAGATGCACTGAGGGCTGGCTGAGGAACCATGTCTATGTGCTGCCTTGCTGGATTGCTGCTCCGTCTTTCCGATCTTCTGCTCCACCACCCAGGGCGACAGGTCCAGGAGGGATGAGGAACACCCAGAAGCTTCACTCGTTGATGTCTTTTTCTTTTTTTTTTTGTCATGAAGGACTAACCAATAACAAAAGGGTGATTTTTGCCTTTCAGTTTTTAAGATCTCTCCTCTCCAGGACCTTACATTGTGGAGATACTTGGTCAGTAGAGGACTGGATCCACCAGCTCAGAGGAGAGGAGCTCCAGCACTGCCCATGCCCAGCCCAGCCTGGCTATAGGGAGGCAGGAAGGAGTTATGGGACAGGGTTGAGATTCCACCATCAATCCATGGCAATGGTGACCTGGAGACCTCAAGTGATGATTTGGGTGGCTGGTGGGCAACCTGGGGGCAGCTGGACCTTTGGCCAGCTCACAGGTTTGGTTGCTAAAATCATGCCTTTTTTCAACAGCCACTTTGGTCCAATATTCAAGTAAAATAGTTGCAGCCCTCAGCTCACCTCTGCCATGCTGGTGGTAGGAAAGGTCATCCTGCAGCAAGGAGGAGGGGAAGAGATGGGACATGGAGCCCCCAGGATGCTGCTCCTGTTTTTTTATGAGGGTTTTGAAATAAATAAATGTCCAGGATTTCAAACACAGAGCCAGGAGGATGCTTGCTGTAAGAAAAACACCTTAAGTTTGGGGAAAAAAAAGCCTCAAAGCCTGGCACGTCACCAACTACTCTTTCCTTTTTGGGTTAACCTGTTTTTTTCTGCTCTCCTTTTTCTGAGGACAGAAGGTTTGGGTGAAGGAGACAAGGAAGATCTCCCCAGTTTCATCCCACTAGCCTAAACCCTGGGAACTGGGTGCTACCACATCCTAAGGACTTGGGTACTCACAGGTCAAGCGGATGAGGATATCTGTCCTGCTCCTTGACAGGCAGCACAAAGTAAGGCAGGATGTATAGGGTCCCCGTCTTGTCCCGGTAAAACTCACGGTGCTGCTGGGTCAGCTGTGGATAAAGATAAATATCCCAGCGCTCGTCTCATTAATTTGCAAGAAACCAGCCCTGCAGAGCCTGAGGACACCACAGTTCACCTCGACAGGTCCCTTTTGTCCTCACCTCGTGAAACCTGCTCAGCTCCTGGGATCGGCCACCATCCAGGATGAAGAGGGTGTGCACTGGGGTGAGTGGGCACGGGTTCCAGGCCTCTGCTTGGCAAATCGTCAGGGTCCGGGAATGCTGGGGGTATCTCATGGTGGTGCTCCTGAAGGAAAATGTTGGGTTTGGGGATGAGCCTTCCAAAGTCATGTGGGAAATGTGATCAGGAAGGGTCATGTTGGGAGTTTCCAGGAGTGGGGAGCTCCCTTCTCCTCCCTGCAGCTGCAAAATGCCTGTGGGATCCAGCACCCACCTCTCTGGGATTAGCTGATAGGACAAGAGGTCACAGCTTTAAACTGAAAACTCAGATGTAAGGAAGAAATTCTTGACCATGAGGGTGCTGAGGCACTGGCACAGGTTGCCCAGAGAAGCTGCACAAGTCCCATCCCTGGAAGTGTCCAAGACCAGACTGGGCAGGGTTTTGAGCAACCTCGTCTGGTGGGAGGTGTCCCTGCCCATGATAGGGGGATTGAAGCTAGATGGTCTTGAAAGTGCCTTTCAACCCAAAATATTCTGGGATTCAATGACTCCAAATAATTCCACTTCATAAAAAACCACATTTGATGCACAGCACTACACCTGAGGATCAGCTGCTGCCCGAGGGATCCTGGTGATGGAGGGGATGGTGCCATCATGACCCAGGACATGTTCAGTTTTTATTTTCCCCTTTTAGCATCCTTCTTTGCATTTTAGAGGTTCCTCAGGCAGGGTTCATCCTATCCTTGCCTGACCATGCACGCAAGGAATGGGAAAGGGGAGAAGCTGATCCCTCTCCTGGCAGAAAACCATCAGGAAGAGGGAGAATGAATGGGACCCCTCTATTCCAAGCACGCCGACCCCCAGCATCCAGGAAAAGTCATCATTCATTTTGGCTGGCTCTCTCCTGGTGGCCTCACCTCCCCAAAACCGCAGGATTTCAGGCTGCGGACATGGTACCAAACTCAACTCATTCCCACAAGGCAGCTCACAGAGGGCTAGATGGAGAGATGCTGGAAAGCATCTCAGGAGACCAGACTTGTGCTGGAATGGTCCCTGTGACCCTGCTATGTTGATTCCCAGAAAGCAACCAGGAGCCACTCTTCATCAGGGAATAGCCCCACAGATGCCCCCTTTCCAAAACTGGGAGCAGGGAATTCATCAGGACACGGTGTTGGATGGTCCTAAGAATAGACAAGGGCTGTATGAACTCACTTCTACCACTACATCTGCCCCAAAGAGACATTACAGGGATGTTCCCTCAGCTCTTAGCATGCTCAGAGCTGAAAATCTAGTGATTGCTAATAGGGACTGGTGAAAAATTAAACGTTATTCACCCCTTCAACCACCCTGGTGAGCTCATAGGAGTCTTGGTGTGTTCTCAGAGTGTGGAAATTTGTCATTATTTTTCCCCCAGCTCCTCACAATGGCCATGAGCAACTGGCTCTCCTGCAAAGCCCAAAGTGCAAAGACACTGCTGCGTTTCACTGGAGTTGGTGGAAACTTCTTTTCTCCAAGGTGTATTGGAGCTAATTTTGCTGCAGTCTGAGATGCTCTTCCTATAACCTGAACCCAGTGCTTCAGCTGGTGCAGGAGCCCTTGGCCCCGAGTAAGGAGCTGTGTCATGCTATGAAAGCCAGAAGAAAAAAAAGAGTATCTAAGGGAAAAAGGAAAGAAATGTAGACCTTTCCCCTTGCTGCCAGGGCAGAGGAAACAGAGCTGCTGAAGAACGGAGATAATCAGAAGGCAAAAACTCAACAACAAAACTACTTAGTGCATCCCCCGGTCAATGCGACCCTGGGGCTCGCCGAGTCTTGTGTCTTGTGAATCTCCCTCCTCAGGGATGCTGCAGTTTGTCGAGTCCATGTGGATGAAACAACTGTCCCGCTGCCTTCCTCCGCAGGGGCTGTGCTTGGTGGCCCCAGGAGCCCCCCATGCTGAGCCCAGTCCCTGCCCAGTCCTGTTGCAGGGACAGCACTAACATCCAGCAGACACCCCCTGGGTACGAGCATCAGTTAATTTCTCTGCTGAACAACAAGATCTCAGTTAGTATTCTGGGACAAGCACAGCACCAAAAAAACATCTCTCCCAAGAAAGTCTATTACACATCATTTATTTCTACCCTACCCTGCCTGGTTTCCAGGGTGAAGCTCGAACCAGGAATGATGATTTCCACACTACAAACCTGGCTCATATTTGAGCCAGATTGAGTATCAGAGTTTTTCTTATTTAAGGACCCAGATGATCTTTCACAAGGATGTTAAACCAGACCTCTCTGTGCCCAACCTTGAATGTCTCCAGGGATGGGGCTACCACCCCCTTTCTGGGCAACCTGTGCCAGGGTCTCACCACTCTCACTGTAAAGAACTTCTTCGTAACTTCTAATCTGGAATGTTTCCAGGGACGAGGCAGATAGAGCCTCTCTGCACCACTCTCACTGTAAAGAACTTCTTCCTAAAGTCTAATCTGGAATATTTCCAGGGATGAGGCAGCTACAGCCTCTCTGGGTATAGAATCATAGAATAGAATCACAGAATGTGTTGGGTTGGGAGGGACGTTTAAAGGCCATCTAGTCTAACACCCCTGCACTGAGCCAGAACAAACCAGTGCCAGTGTCTCACCACCCTCATTGTAAAAAGTTTCTTCCTTATATCATAGAATCCTAGAATGTCTTGGGTTGGAAGGGAGCTTAGAGATCCTGTAGCCCCCCCCCTGCCATGGGCAGGGATGCCCTTAACCAGCCCAGGTTGCTCCAGGTTCATCCTGGCCTTGGACATCTCCAGGGAGGGGGCAGCCACAGCCCCTCTGGGCAATCTAGTCCAGAGTCTGGCCACCCTCGCACGCAAGAATTTCTCCCTCAGATCCCAGCGAAACCCATTCTCCTGCAGTTTCAGCCCATTTCCCCTTGTGCTGTCGCTGGACACTCTTGTACCCAGTCCCTGCCCAGGCTCCCTGCAGGTTCCCTTCAGGCACTGCAGGCAGGGATAAGGTGCCCCCGGAGTCTGCTCTGCTCCAGCTGCACAACCCCAGCTCCCGCAGCCTGTCCTCGCCGCAGAGCTGCTCCAGCCCCTGGCTCAGCTTTGTGGCCTCCTCTGGGCTCGTCCCAACAGCTCCATGTCCCTCTTATGATGGAGACTGGTCTAGCCTAGCCTAGTCTAAATCTTCCCTCTTTTATTTTAAAATCATCACCCCTTGTCCTATACTCTGCCTTTGACTGAAGACACACTCACTCACTAACCCAAAGGGCAAAAGAGCCATGCTGACCTGTTCCCTTTGCTAAAAACCCAAATAAAGAGCATTTCTGCTGTCTGAGCCTCCTGAGACACAAAGGGATGATGTGCACGTGGCCTTGCAACACCTTTACTTCTACTGCTGACCACAAATCCAAAGAGAAGCAGTGAATAAACACACTTGATACCTAAATACCCTCCACAGTGCTGGGAATATTTGTGTGAACAGGTAGTGGTGCCAAGAAACGTGGGATGTATAACTCCTACAAATACAGCTCTGCCTGCAAGGGAGAAATGGATTGCAGCAGCTCTGAGAGCAGCAGCAAGAGAGAGGGATGGAGGTCAGCCACGCATGTAACCCCACCAGCAAAGAGCATGTGGGTGTGGGTGCAGCTCCCGGCTGCAGGGGTTGTGCAGCCTTGGCACCCGGGGTGATTTTATGCCAGGAGAAAGCTGCCAGGGACAGGCATTGCCCTCACAGGACAAGGGCTGCCCTCGGCAAGGGCATCCCCAGGCGGTTTGGACCAGCTCTGGCTGCAGCACGAGTCTTTGCTTACATAAAACAAAAGGCGACATGAAAGAAAACAAGGGAAGGGAGGACAAAATATGTGGTGATGGGAAGGGGCTGGGGAAGATGCCTCATGCAAGAGGGCAGGGGAGGATGAGCTGAAACTGAGTGCAGCTTGCTTAGGCAAGAGGTATTTGGGATCTGTTAGGGAGAGGAAAAGTCTCCGAAGTTCTTGCAGGATGATGCACCTGAGAAGTCTGCCTCTCTCCAAGGCTGCCATGCATTATTCACTGCCCTTGTGCGATATGCATGAGGAGGTGAGAAAATCCACCGCTCCGTCCCTCTGCAACCGCCGATAGAGAAGACAACCCCTGACCCGTGTAAAATAGCCCGAGGAAACATGAAGACGTGGGGGCGCAAGGGCACAGCGGTCGGGAGATGCAGTCCCTGCAGTGCCCGGCTCTTACAGCCTGTGAGAAATGCTGTCTGACAATGGGAAGGGTGCAGGGTGCACGGGACAGGGTGCAGGACCCACAAAGGGTGCAGGATTTTTGGGGTGGGGTGCAGGACCCATGAAAATTGTAGGGTTTTCAGGGTGGGCTACACAACCCACCAAGGGTGAAGGGTTCTTGGGGTGGTGTGCAGGACCTGTGAAGGGTGCAGGGGTTTTGGGGAGCAGAGTGAGGGGTCCCAGGGTGCTCACTCCCAACCTGCTGTGAGACATGTCCAGGCTGAGGAGGGTCCCTGTGATGCAGCCGCCCCCAGATCCACCCTGTTCAGTTCTGCCTGGCCCAGCCAGGTCACAAACACCATCACCGGGCAACGATGGGAGCCCAGCACCACCCCTGGAACCCCCTGCATCCAGCCAGCCCTCAGCACTGCACCCACCCTGGCACCCCCTGTACCCCCGGTGCTGCAAAGTATCCAAAAATGTCCCCAGGTTTACATTATTCATGCTTTTTTTTTTTTTTTTTCCCCAACAGCTCCTTCTGTAAGGGGAAGAGTGGGCTCTGTTACTACCTTAGGGGGGCATCCTGTCCTGGAAAGGCTTTGAGAAGGGTCAGTTGTCTATGAAGAATCAACGTGAAAAATAAAAACCACACACAGAGATCTGTATGTCCTGTGGAAATAACCCTTGTCAAAGGATCCTTGCTTGTAAGGGGTGCTGGGAGGTGTGGGAATTGGAGGGGCTGTTCTTGATTTGCACCTAAGCCCTGAGAGATTTCAAATTAAAAAAAATAAACAAAAGAAAACAAAGACAAAAGGAAAGAGAACAGAAATCCAGTGGTTTTCATGCGCTTGACACTAGGTTGTTCACAGAATTGCCCAGACTGAAAAAGACCTTTAAGATCATCAAGACCAATCTTTAACACAACACTGAC